CTTCTGTATGGATCTGAAAATGGCCTAAAGGGTCGGCGTGGAACGTGTCAAATCCCAGACTCACAATTAAGAACTCAGTCTTGAGCTCCACCAGTTTCTTCAAACCGTAATCAAGTTTCGTCAGATACTCTTCAATTGAACTGCCGACTTTGAGCGGAAGGTTGATGTTCATATTCTGTCCCCCGCCTATCCCCGTCTCGTCTTCCTCGCCGGTGTAATACGGAAACTCGTCTTTGCCGTGGATACTCACATACAGAACTTTGGCGTCGGCGTAAAAAATCTCCTGTGTGCCATTGCCATGGTGGAAGTCGATGTCCAGGATTCCGATCTGCGCATTAGGCTGATGCGAACGCCATGAGCTCACCGCTAAAGCAGCGTTGTTGATGTAACAGTAGCCACCTGCTCGTTGGCCATCACAGTGGTGCCCTGGAGGCCGACAAAGGGCGACGACAGTGTCAATGTCGTTGGGAAGCCCATTGTCAAAGCTAGAAAGCATGTCTGTCCCCTCACATGCGAGGTTCGCCGATGCAACTATGGCTCGATAACTCTCTGACATGATGCCACTGCTCATATCAAAGGCATAATACCCTGCTCTCGCGAAGGGGTCCTTAGGTGCACGTAACGGCTTTCTCGTGGAAGTGGGGAACACAAAACACTCCGGCAACACATGACCATCTTCCTCTATCAGACCCGCTGAGAGCCACTCCTCATATACATCTCGTAGATGCTGTAAATATTCGAGGCCGTGGGTTTCTGAGGTGAGTCTCAGAAGTCGGGGATTTGGGCCTTCCCTCACAGAGCTGATTTGCTTGGTGTAAGTCCTATATTCAGAGTGATGAAGAGCTTTCAGGATTGCTTCAAGACGTTCCGGTGATTCCAAGGCAGGGATGAGGTTGGAGCCTAACAACTCGATGGTTTTGTGGAGGAGCGTGTCAGGGTCCCACAGGATCACCAACATCTTGAACGACGTCTGTTGTGCGGTTTCTGATGCAAAGCATGGCAAATATCGAGGTTTTTTTCGCCGACAGCCTTGTCGAAATGGGGACTTGCCGCCGCCTCGAGCACGGGTACGTCAGGTTGTCAAGATCGGAATGATAAGCTGAGTCTGAGATTTTAGGGTCAAGGAGGATTGTGCGGGTGATAATGGGCCTTGCCGTCACTAACTCGCTTCGGTCAAACAACATCTGCCGAGGCCACCGAAGCACGTGACCCCTTATCGCGAGGCATGTGCTCCGTCCTCTCAAAAGTTCTGTGTATACATATTGCCGTATATCGGGCCCTGTGGGGGAAGAGATGAGCGACTCTGTTGTGGCTCTATTGAAGGCATTGGCTGCATATCATTGTCTAACCGAAGTTAGTACCTAACCCGTCTCAAGTGGTCCAAAGGTTGTCCCAATGCACACTTACTGCTATTGATGAACTGCATGAGCCGTGCATTCTTTTGTCGGAGGTTCCTGCAGGTATCCTTCATGCTCTGGAGAGATCTCTGCTGCGACTTTGCAAAGTTGTCGAGGATGACGGCCATGTTTGCCAGGAATGCCCTGCCTGACGTTTGGAGGTTAGAGCGAACCTAAAGGGAGAAACGCAATGGCTACGATACTTACTTGGTTGAACAAGATCCGCGGCTAAGTCGCCCGCAGCCATGCTATTGTCGTGTGAAGACCTGTTCATGAAGCCGAGGGCTGCAGCTTGAACAGCTCGAGTGTAATCCTCCACAAGTGGCAACACATCATTCTGGAGAGGGCCATCGTTGCCCGTGCCGGGCTCTAGAAATAAATCGTCTATGCCTAGCGAAGGGTGCAATGGAGCCGCATCGGCAGCAGCAAGCATTGGTGTCGAGTCCACATCCACCACAGCAAACTGGATCCCTGGATTGTTATCGAAACCGGTCTGGTTTAATGTCTCCGAGCCCAGAGGGACTGGTAGAGTGTTATTGAACCTCGATTGCTCCGTCATCATGTCCTCGGGCAGTATTCCTGGAGCCATCGCCATGTCGGTACCAGCCATGACGTACTGACTGAAGTCTGCTGATAATGACGGCACCGAGGGTTCGGTGATAGGGAAACCAAATGACGGGTCGTTTGCACTTACTGAGAAGCGCTGACTGCCATTCGGGACGCCGCCTACTGGGGGAATTTGCGAGGAAGTCGGATCGTCCGGAAAGACTGTGTAATTGGTTTGTGCACCAACAGCGCCGAATCGATGAGTCCCATCTGCTTGTGTCTGACCCCATTGATTGTGGCCAACGGGAAGAGGAAGGTTATTGGGATTAGCAGACGTTCCGTACGCGCCAGGTTCATGCCCTTGAAAAATTTGCGGTTGGAAGGTTTGCAGTCCCCTGCCGGCTTGTGCTGAAGCCATATGGAATCCGTCGTTGCTGGAACTCCGTTGCATTTCCAAATCGAGGTGGTTGAAGTCAAATGGGGACTCTATTGAGGCATTTGCAGAAGGATCCGAAAATTCTTGTTTGAATTGTGGACGCGGCATGTCGGTAAAGGAAGCAGATCTTGACCTCGACCTCGAGCGACTGAGTTCTCGACGGGCGAAACGACGCAGGTTGCGATCCTCGTGTGGTTGGAGATTGCCGCGCTCGTCCACATGCGAACGAGGTCTTCGACCAGGACGACTCACGTCGTAGACGGTTTTGCCGGTTTGCGCAATCTGATGAAGCCTTTCCTCTCGATTTGCGTACTTTGAAAATCCCCACTGCTTGATTTTGCGCTCCCATTGGCGGGGAGTGGCGCTGAAGTTGAAGTGTTCTTTCATGTACTGTGCGGCTTCCTTGCGCGTCATGCCGTTATCAATGTAACAAATGCGGAAATTCTCCTTCTGCGACTCCCAATCTTTTTCATCATGATGGGTGTCAAGAGCCTGCAAATCGTCGTCAGAGGCCATGATTGTAACACCAAAGAGAAGACAACGGAGGAATGTCGATGCTGATAAGAGTGCTTCTCAGCCTGATGGCGTGGCGCTTGTCACCTGAGACTCTCAGTCACCGAGTCTGATAATCGCAACGAAGAGAACTTCAAGAGGTGGATGACTGTGTTACTGGAGCCGAGAAACAGGTCATTGATATCTTGCGCGACATAACGACAACCTTTGCGTCGATGTTCAACGGAAGAGAAGCGCCGACTAGCAGATGATGCTTGGTGGTAACCGGGGTCAAGGGCTTAGAGCTTTGTCTCGGATACACCGTTGAGCGCCAGCTCGCCGTGCCTGTTGTTGGTTTGGCCCCGACTTAGTGGCACTGCGGCTGAAGCAGTTGGTGTCTGGTTCGAAGTCGCCGGCACGATCCAGGGCTTTGGATTGCGCCTGACCAACCAATTCGTGGGGTCAGTGGGCACCCAACGGACACCTAACGACTAATGACGGGCGATGCTGACCTCGCCCAGAGGAATTGTGATAGTGGGTGGTTGCGGCGGTGATCATTATTGTGATGGGGGTTGCGGGTTCAGCCTGCGGCGGGGTGGATAGCGCATAGTTGGACGGTGGGTGTGGCTGACGTGGCTGGTGAGCATCGCGCCTTTCTGCGCATTATGATCTTTTGGTCCTCCGTGGGAGCAAATTACGGTCAAGTATTGAGCAGCTCATGACATTCTGCCATTGTACAAAATCCACGCGTCCACACGCCCATTTCCTCATCCTCTCCGTCCCTCCTATCCGACCTCTGTTCAATGAGAAACCAACAAGGCGGTTTTTGCCCGATGGAATTGTCGACTCACACTGTAGCCTCTGCAACCATGTCATACCATCGTCCAGTCGATGATATTCTCCGGATGGGTTTGCCAATTTCCCATCTATCGTCTGAATTCGACCTTGTCTGAGCCGCCCAAATCCTCACTATCCCTGCGTGATGACCTGCACCAGTCTTTGGACAAACCAAATGAGATACAGTGCGTGATTTATGCTGTGTGATTTGGCCACAATGTTGCAATGATGCCTGCAACCTTCTCTCTTACCATTGTCTATATAATTTCTCGCCACCCCCCACACCATACTCAGTGTCTCCAGAGACACGAACCAAGCAATGTCTTGGGCAAGGCCGGGGTTCCGCTGACAAGATTATCCTTGACATCCATGGCGACATTCAAAACCATAGGCTGGCTATTCACTGCCACTTGGATGTATGCAGTGTCCTTTATCTGGCATGTTAGCAATGCTGTCTTCAAACCGACGCTGAATTCAATCCCTGGTTGTGAGTACAAGTGATGCTCTTGGAGAGAGGGGGAAGGGGATGTGTGGGCTGACCGGTCTAGATACCGAGCAACATGGGGCTGAGCACCCACCGCCTACCCTTGAGCGCGAATGCTCGCCATCTATGTCGTCGAGCTTGAACGTCCATCTGTCCGAAGAAAGGCTGCCAGACACCCCGCCTCCTGCACCACCGTCGCAACTCATTGGCCCCGACGAGCAAGATTTTCAGGAAATGGGAAGTTGGGAGCACTTTTGCAACGGAAGTTAGGGTAGAGTCTGGGGAAAGAACCTTGCAGGACTGGTAGTTGGGAGAAGCTTTTGGGTGGTCATTGGGGTTGACGGGAGCCCACCTGTCTGGGGAACGGTGCTAGAGGTATTTAGGGGAATGTTGTGTACTAGCAGATGGAATTTTCCGAACGTGCAAAAAGCCCAAACATCCAGGGGCTGTTAATGAAGGTACTTGGTTCTGTACTTTTGACTGGCACACTGGCACACTGGCACACTGGCACACTGGCACACTGGCACCACTGGGTACTTGACCCTAAGAAATCGCTCACGTGGCATCGTGAAGTGGTCGCGTCATGATGGTGCCGAGAAAGGGTCCATTTGCGCCCCTCGGTCCGCATCACTTTGTTTTGGCAAAGGCAGAACGATTCCGACTACTATCAACCTCAATAACATATGCCAGTGCCCTCGCGATCGGCACCTCTGCGTTCAATATCTGAATTTCTATTTTTCGATGATATCCTGGAACCGCATTGGCAGCCACAAGTTTGCGCCGATGGGCCGTCGAACGCCTCTTCACCATGTCCGGCGCAGTCGTAATTCTTTCGTCCTCCCCTCCACAAACATTCGCCCGCTCTCCCACCCCCGATGACACTCTATCTCCATTGCGGTCACCACGTGCCCTTTACACACTCAATCCGGCCGATGCAGAACATTTTAAGGACTCCAGACGGACTAGAGACGGGTTCTCGAGCGGTTACAGCAGTGCACGTACCTTGCTCACAAGGGTTACCGCTGAGAACATCCCTATCCGGTCTCAGCCAAAAGATGGACTCAAGACCAAAATCTTACAGCATTCTGAAGATCTTACCGGAAAACCACTCAAAGCAGCAAAGCCTGCCGAAAAGAAGAAACAAACTCTAGCAGAGGAGCGATCCAAACATTTCAAGTCCACACAGTCGCCTCCTCCAATGCCGCTCCCAAGCCACGGGGGCTCGCAGGCGACCAGAGCGCATGATATACAACCCTCAGGGACAGAAACGAAGTGTATCGGAAACGAGGGCAACTCAAATGAACGCGAAAGCCTCATCGACTTATATTCCAGCCCCCTGTCCTTAGAGAAGGCCATTCCGAGGCGCATGGATTGGACACCTGTCAAGCCGACTGCGCATGCCTTGGAGACACAACATTCTGAAGATCGAGTAGTGGGATTTACCAATGATCTCATGGACTTTTATGCCTATGCCCCCTGTGCTACAACGGCTGTTGGGACAACTACAACAACTGACGCAAATGAAACGCGGCTGATTAGGAGAAGAATCGACCTTGTCATGACCACAGAGGCAAAACCTTCACCATCCCCGTACAACCCGCAACCTTACAAAGACCTGGTGAGATGTGACAAAGTCGGAAGGGCAAAGCCCGCACCCAAAAAGCCTCTCACAATCACGGGACTGGCCACTTCGAACTACAATGACGGCCGACGGATCGATAAGAAGTTACCGCCTATGCTGGAATATCTTACAGCAACACAAGTTGGTGCAAACACCGAAGGAGACTCCACCATTGAGACCAGTTCGAAAACCACGAAATCAAAAACTACAAACAAGAAAGCACGGCCAACCAAGAAAGCAGCGGCCAAAACTCGATTGAAATCTCCTACGTCCGCAATAAAGACCACTCTGGAGCAACCGTTTCTTTTTGGCCCAGCGAGTCAATTGGCTCGGGACGAATCGCCTACACTGACGCGGGATACGGTGGAAGCACTGAGGCGCTCGGAATGCTTCTCTTCTGACCCCATATCACCATCGTTGACACAACCCGCTTCGATTGAGTCAGCTTCACCTATCTTCTGTCGTGGTACGAGCCGATTTGTGAAAAGAAGGAACTTGTGGGCTGCGGCTGGTCGAGACGAAGATAATGCTTTGCTGCAGGTCGACTGTGTCGACCTTACTGATTCACCTGCTGTTCGCCTAGCTCTTGCCGGAAAAGACGTCCTTGTTCAGCCTGTCGACCGGGACCACCCAGAGGCAAACACTTTCGAGAATGATGTACCAATACTTACCAAAGCGTCATTTCCCAAAGTTGGAGAAGCCGGGTCTCTGGTCGACATCGACGATCTTGTCACGCCCAGCCGTCCAACACCTATCCATACGCCTGCACAAACAGGAGTCAGGCTATATCATACGTCCCGAGCACTCAAGCAGCCGCAGAAGGGAGCCGATATTCATCACAAGGACGACAAGTTACATACGAAAATAAAGGATGTTGCAGCGAAACTAAAGCCATCTATGCCATCCTACGTGGGATTCTCCGATCACGAACTTAAGAAACAGATATCTGCGTACGGCTTTAAAGCTGTTAAGAAGCGAGAGGCGATGATCGAGCTTCTCGAACGATGTTGGGAAAGCAAACATGGTCAGCAGCAGGAACATGATGGTGACAATGCCTCCGATGATGTGATGACCCACGCCGATTTACTCAGTAAGATTCACGACGTCTCCACTAGACCAGCTCCAAAAGTCAAGAAGCCTCGCGCGAAACGAAAATCCGAATCCGACGACACAAACAAGACTAAGGAGCCGAAGAAGAGGAAGAAGGTAGCAACCGAACAAAATGGTCCTGCCCAAAAGGGAGGGAAAGGCTCTCGGAAACGCATGTCAAAGGCGCCGACGGATGAGAAAGTTGTGGACGTTGATGATTTGGATGATGCTCATCAGCAAAACATCGGAGGCCACAATCAGGGAATCTCTCGGGCACAGGAACAGACAGCGACCCCGAGACTTGAGACTGGAGATGCAACTCAGAGACTCATCACACCACCACTAACGGTGCCGCAACCAAGTTGCACTTCTTCGCAAGGTCGCGAACCTTCCCGTGCTCAGGGCGCAGACCCAGACTCCAAACTGGACAGATGTCCAGTTGGAGGTCTTAGCCTTACGCCTCAAGACACTCCTACACCAGACATTCTGTCACAGATACATGCTGCTATCTATCACCGTCCAGAGACTCGGTCACTTAACGAGAATCCTCGAAACCATCAAATATCGCCAACCTGGCACGAAAAGATTCTCATGTACGATCCGATTGTGCTGGAGGAGCTTACGGTCTGGTTGAATACAGAAGGCTTTAAGGCAATAGGAGAAGATCGCGAAGTAAGCCCGATGGAAGTCAGGAAGTGGTGTGAACAGAACGGCGTGTGCTGCTATGGAGTGGCAGGAGGATGGAGAGGTAGGGGTCGCCGACAGGATGCTGACTGAAGCACTTTTCACTGAATAGAGGTAGCAATTCTCATGGTGCTGAAAAAAAGGTTGGCAGAGAGTACTTAACAGGATGTTATGAACAGCGAAGGGGTTCTTTGGTGAAATTACGATTATCCCTTGCACTCGGCATCTAAGGAAATAAATGCAGGCTTTGGATAGGATGCGCGTTTTAGCGGTAACGGTGAGAAGATTAAGTGATTAGGATAGTGTACCCAGTATGTATTACTTGGTACCATATACGAGTCTTTGGAGTTCGGACAATGCGAGTAGATCAGCTACAGTGGAGATCATCCCCGCAACTTTCTCTGCTCATGTTCGCTAGGCCAGCGGGTGGCGTGCGATGTTCAATGCGCAGACGATCATCACAAACCTGCGCTCTGGTGGTAGGTAATGAATTGATATGCGAGCGGTTCAATGCAACTTCTTACCACGGACCAGCAGCTTCCCCTGCTTCTCTGATCAACCCCTCGCTCGCTGTTCTGCTTTGTCAAGGGCTATTTCCAGCACTTGACGGGACTCTGGAGAAGCAAATTACAGGCTTTCTTCCCGGTGGTCAGAATATGTGTTTGGGCTAAATTGCATGGTTGTGTCTTTTGCTGAAGTGACAGGAACACCGTCGATTGACACAGTTCATTTTGAAGATGCCATCGATTAGGGCCACGAGCGCGACTCTCTTCTCTTGAAAGGATGAGCCTGAGTAGTGTCCATCCTAGCCAGTCCGCATCCCCAAATACCTCTACGAGTTTTCTCCCACCGCCTCGCCAAATTCGCTTCGTCTCGATTGATGGCCAACCGCACACGAAGAGGAGGCGAATCAATGCTGCTTGTCTGACGTGTCGCAAGAGGAAGACGCGATGCTCAGGCGAGCGGCCTGAGTGTAAAACTTGCACGGATAACAAACATGTGTGCTCTGGCTATGCCGACCGTCCCAGCCGCAGGGACGGCGAGAGACTTGATGAGGACGTTGAAGAAGAGGCCGACTCTGGCTCCTCCACGCCCCAAAGGCAAAGCCGAGATGTGGAAGTCACGACAAAGCTGCGGGCGAGCTCAGAGAAAGAAGCGGACAACAAGCAGAGAGAAGATGCCGGAGAAATGATAAGTCCTTCAAGCAATCACACTGGCAGCAGCGTGGCCTCTGCGAGAAATCGGGTCCCCTATTTTCGATATTTTGGGCCGACTGCGATCGTGCCTGGGTTCAAGCAGATGGTGGTGCAGGTTAAAGACCATAGACCAGGCTTGCCTTCGGCCTCTGGAGAATCTCCAGCGGCGGGACAACAGCTAGATGGGAACTTTGCTGTTGGCCATGATCGCGTGCGCATTGGGATGCCCTTTTATGATGCTACTGATCCGGAGCAAAATGCTCCTCTGATCACTCATCTTTGCGAAACATTCTTCACCCATCTCGGGTGCAACTACCCTTTTCTCCAGCGTGACAGATTTCTTCGAGATTTGGAGGAGAAGAAAGTGGATGCGATCCTGGTCGACGCTGTCTGCGCCGTTTCGGCGCGATTCTCAGGATATCCGCTTCTTTGCAAATCCAACGACCCCTCCATCCCACTGGACGCCGAAGGAAATGTTAGGAGAGCCTTTCGAGGACAACCCTTTGCTCAAAGAGCCATGTCAGCAGTGATAGACACATTTTCTTGCCCAACCATGGCTGTTGCTCAAGCCTGTCTACTCCTTGCCTATGAGGAGTTTGGCGTAGACCACGATAGTGGTTTATGGATGTACCTTGGAACGGCTATTCGCATGGCACAGGACCTCGGAATTCAGAAGCTCGAAGGTCTACAGCTCGAAGGGCGGATTGGGCCAACTCCAAAGACTGCTAAGCACAGTCAACAAGGTAAGGCAGAGGAGCAGAGGAGAGCTGAACAGCAACAGAAGCTGTCAAGCAATCTCTACGAACAGGAGAGTAGCCAACTGGACGACCGAAGGGCCAGCGAACAGGAACGAATCGATACCTTCTGGGCCATCTTCTTTCTGGACCGAGCTGTCTCATCAGGTGTTGGCCGTCCGGTCACTCTGCGGGACAAGGACATCGAAATCTCCTTCCCATATCGAGCCGATGACAAGATGATCAATGGATTCCCCGATCCGTTCCCTGCCATGATCAAGATTGTTCACATGTATGGACGAGTTGCGGACGTTCTCAACAACATAAAGGAAGTCAGCCAGGTAACACCAGACGTGTTGAACCGGTTGGCAATCATGGAGAGAGATTTGACAGGTTCGCTTTCGTTCTCTTATTGACCCTCTGCTAGGCTGAGCTGACCAAGCTAAGGCATATATCAACGCTTGTCACCTAGACTACATTTCAATGCCACCAATTTCCAGCATTATGTCAAAGCGGACCATGGCACCAACTTCATTCTACTACATTTCTGGTTTCATACCTTGATCGTGCTGCTTCACCAACCGACTCTGCTGCACTCGTTCGAAGGACGCATCCAACAGTTGTTCCCCGACAGCAGAGAATTATCCATGTCATCGGCAAAAACCATCGCGGATATCCTGGCGTTTGCAGAGCTGATTGACGTAAAGAGCTTCATCGGTAACCCTTTTACAAGTCAACCGATGTATGTTGCGGCGTGCGCTTTTTTGGCTGAAGCTGCTGCTCATGCCTCTCAGCCGCCGTCTCGAGCGACGTCTCCGCCATCAAATGGACATACGCCTCGGTTGAAACAAGACGTGATTGCTCATAGGACGCATAACACAGTCTCTGCGCGCCATACACTTCTCGCTACCGCTGCAAATCAAAACTATCAGCGGTGTTACAAGGCGCTGAAAACTTTGGATTCTTACTGGGCTGGTTGTCGCTATATCTTGACGGCACTCGACCAAAAGTCAAAGGGGTTGATGGATCCATTGCTGTTTACTGCGGATGATGTTGACGGAGAAATGCCATCAACAGAGCCTTCGTTTACTACTCCCGGCTGGCGACGAAGCACCTCGCTCGCCGCTTCACTAGGAGCTTACGGCAGACTGAGGTCGCTCAAAGCACTGTCGGGCGGCGGACCAATATCTCCTTCGATGGATCTCAGTAACGCAATTGGGTGGTCGTTGACGGGAACGGCCAACTCCCTAGCCCCGAACCTTAGCTTCCTGTATCCGACCGGAGGTGAAACTGCAAAGGCACCACAGGGGGGCTCTTCGGGGAAGGAACAGGACGAGACGACCCAGGGTTCCATGGCTACGAGAAAATTCGAAGCGCAGTGGCAGAATAGGAGTGTCTCCAATTTTCAGGACACGGCCATCAATGATCGGTTGGGACAAGCCTCTCCCGCCGAAACCTCGACCCCTACCAATAAAGTGTCATCTGTGCCTTACGATCCAGTATCAACGGCTGATGCAGATTTGTTGCTTGGACTTCACTCGCCATATACCACCAGTTCGGCTCCCAGACCCGTCCAACTCAGCCAACCTTCGAACGCCTATGGGTATTCACAACAAGCGCAACGCTATGCCGGTTCTTTGAGTCGCCAGCAACCAATTACTGACGCGCAAAGCCAAGCCTACAGCGACATGCTGATCGAATCACAAGATATCGATATGAGCTCTGGGCAGCAATTCAACTTTGATTTTCCAGGGGGCGACATGATACCCTGGTTGGAATATCTGCCACAGGATGTTTTGAGTTACTTTACAGAATCTCAACCAGGGACATGATTGCCTGAACTTTCCGCTATGGACGACTAGACTGGTGTCATTCCGAGATGGCATGTTCGTTGTATCTGCTCTGTATCAGCGTAAATGCCCTCCAATGGAACAGGCCAACCGAAATAGAAATCCACGAGCAATATGCCCCAAGCTCTGTCAAAAAACTTGACGGGAAACCAGTCATCAGCATCACACGACGTCATACAAAGGCAGAAGGGCAACTTGCTAATGATGGATACGCTTCGCCTAACAGAGCAAACTGCTATCGCTGCTTTTTTTAGTCGAGAGACTCTCTACGCTATAAGCGGCTAGTTATTTCTCCCTCTTGGGAGACTCGGCGTCCACAACCGGCCAACAAATGACGCTGTTTTTATTTCAACGTCTCTCCTTCCCCCGAGTACAGGTTCGGGGTGATTCTCCACTCCACACCTGGTTACCTACTAGTAGGTACTTATCAAGATGAGAGGACACGTCGAGTTCTTCAAGAGCCCACGAAGACGCAGCGAACACGACCATTCCCTTTCAACCAGGAGGAGATGGGGGGATGACGGTGCCCTTTCAAGTTTGTCACTCACCTAAGTTTCCCTAAGGCAGGTAGTCAGGCAGGTATGGAAGTCTGCAAAGCTACCTGGCATGCACAGACCTTTTGGTTCGCGGGATATGCAGACAGAGGGACCTGACAGAATTCTTGACACACATGACCTCTCGAATCACAGATCATAGAGACAGACATGACACCCACTACGGGTTTGACTTCCCAAAGGACGAGGTACGAGCTGATGGGAGTGGGTGAGTGGGTGGGTGGCGCATTTCAAGCGAGCAAAAAAAGACTTTCAAGGAACTAAGCCTGCAGTTTAGTCTTCAAGGGAGGGTCAAACTCGTCCCAGTCCCACGCTCTCTCCCCTGTCGCCTTACCTGTCTGTCGGCCTGTCTGTCCACTTGTGTCTCTCTTCTGTCTGTGGCAGGGCCCGCGCGGCCCGAACTCTCATCCCACCCCACGCGCGGCACACGGAGGTACAGAGCTCAGTTGCTTCGAGTTCGTCTTGGTTCTTTTCTTGCTCCTCGTACCCTACAATTTGAGCAGGAGGCCGTTTTAAATGGGAACAAAACGGTTCTGAAAAAGGAGAAACATACAAAACAGCTTCCTTTCGGGTTTTTGAAGCGAAAAAGACCGCAGCCGAGGGAGGGATTCATCAAGATGCTGCCAGCAGGCACACAGAATTTGGGAGCTTCTTGACAGCCCCGCCGCCTGGCCACGCATCTGTCACGAGCCAGCCGCATATGATCATCCCTTCCCTTTGCTCCCAATTCGACCGGCCACTCTGCAAGGTTCCTGGGTCTGATCACGCGGGCCTCTCT